GTCTGCTTCCTTGTCTGCCTGGGTCTGAGTCCAAACAGGACCATCCAAGAGGACCTGACTTGGAGGATGGGGAGTGGGTTCGACCCAGAGCCCCGTCCTCTCGGGCCCACCGGGGCTTCTGGGCCAGTTTGGTGCGCGGCTGGTTTCAGAGTTACCTACTTCCCTGGGGAAACGTGTAAGCAGTTTAGAGCGCAGGTCCGACCACTTCAGATGTTCAGAGATACCGGATGCGTCTCAGTCCGGGGCCCACGCCCCCCCACCCCCCGGCTCCTGCCTCTCCTCCGTAGGACAGCCGGTCTTCCAGGCCTCCCTGAGACGTAAAAGAGCAGGCCTCAGCAAGCAATGATTGTGCCACTGGCGTCCAGACTGATCGTCTGATGCACATTCCTGAGCTGTTTTACAGATAACCAGATCTGGCCACCAGATGTCTTCCCTAGCCTCCCCTTTGAACAAGGAGAAAGCTACCAGTAGAGGGCTGTTCTGGCCCCCGCTTCTGGCTAATCACCCTTCGTAACTAACAAGCCCCTGGGCTACACATTCTTTTCTCCTTAAACATTCTTTTCTTAGAATAGTTTCTCTTTAACCCAGAAGACTTGTTCAAGGAAGGAGATCACAGACGGGGACTGAGAACTTCAGAAAAATGAACAGACCCTCCGGAGTTTCTCCATGATACCAGGTGCATTCATCGCGATTGAGAAATACTGCCCCCTGCACACACCCTGATGACCATTCTCCTGTTCCTATCAAGTTTTTGTAAAAAACCTCGGGACCCTTTCCCCAAGATGGGCTCACGGTCTCTGAGGCAGTCGTCTGCTGTGACTCCCCTTGCCTGGCAAAGCAGTAAAGCTGTTGTTTTCCATCCTCCCCAAACTCTGTCTCCGTTTCTGTCTTGGCTGTGGGCACAGAGGCCGGTTTTTCCGCAACAATTCTGACTGCCCGTTTAACCTACTGGCTGTGAAAACACCGGTGAGAAATGTAAATAAAGCTGTGTTCAGTGTTCAGTGTTTTCTGTTAGGGACCACAAAGTGCTCGCCTTTCCTACGTGTCTCTACTTGATTTTTACTCATGTTTCCTTTAAAAGCCATGTTTTGGTGTTCTTCCTCCTCTGTAGCTTTGGTTTGTATTATTTTTTATTTAAATTGAGGACTTCATTACCCATCCCAGACCCTTGAACTCACGTTCTAATTCACTCTTCTCCTATTCATTTGCCAAGTCTGCTTCACCCTCCAGGCTCCAATAGCTGCTTTTAATCTTAACATTCATTACCTGGGGTTGTCCTGATCTTTCTGTGCTTTGTGTCTTATCTACCCAACTCAGTTTTAAACTGAGAAGAGGAACTTACATATTCCCCAATGCCTAGTGTAATGCTTTTCATAAAGTAGACTGTAACTATTAGGTTGAAATGATAGGTTATTGATAAAGTGAGGAGCAACTGAATGTCTTCCCAACCTTGCCTGGGTCTGTTACCTCTCCCTTACAAAGCGAGCTGAAATAACTACACAACAGTGCTCCGTTTCTTTGGAAGAGGAATTTAGGCATAAATGGGACTGCATAAAAGGGCCAGAAGTCCTGCGTTGGTGCAATAAATCTGGATTAAAAGATCCACAAATCTAGAGGATGTATTCTTAGAAAAACCCCTTCATTACTCCCTGTTTTGTTTTGTGAGCTCGGTGTGTTTTTTATATCATTTAAAATCAACAAATACGTGCTCACTGCCCACCACAACAAGGCACAGGGACACGAGACACAAACATACAAAGGGCTTTGTAGTATTTGCCTCACGGGACCCTTCTAGCTGCAGACAAGAGACTTCAACATACAGGAGTCTGACATCTCGTCCTTGGATTACTGCAACAGCCTCTTGAGGCATCTCCCTGCTTTGGCCCTTGCCCCCCTGCAATCTGTTCTCAACACGACAGCCAGAGAGATCCTGACAAAATGTCATCCAAACACTGCTCCTCCTCTGCTCCTTCCAATAGCTTTGCTCATTCTCTGAGGAAAGAGCCAAGTCCTCACACTTCACGATCTGCCCCCCGCTCCCCATGCCCCACGCTCCCTGACTTCATTTCCCACCACAGTCCTCCTCCCTCATTCTGCACCAGCTGGGTATCAGTTCTCAGAGAGGCCCTTCCTGATCGCTGTGTTTAAAATCGCTGACACTCTCCCAAAACACACACACAAAATCCTTGTTGCTCCTTCTGGCTTCATTTTCCTCTCGCACCTACCAGGTTCTAATACACGATGTAACCTTCCTTTTTATTTTATTTTATGTCGCCCACCGGACTACAAGCTCCCTGAGGACAGGGAGTTTTGACGGTTCTTTCTTCAATGGCCCTTACATTCCAGGGAGGGACACACTGATGCATTTAGGTAGGATTAAGGTAGGATGAGGTCATTGGGATCACTTGGGTGGCTACTCAAGTTGCTGCCCAGGAAAGGCTCTCCAGAAGGGCGATGTTTAAGCTGCGGGTAAATGCAAGAAAGAAGGCAGCCACATGAAGCTCTTGGGGGAGAGCATTCTCAGCTGAAGGAACAGCTAACGCAAAGCCCCTAAGGCTCCTGAGAACATATTTAGTGTGTTCAGAAGCTTACGGCTACAGGTTACAGAGGCCGGGGGTGGGGCCGGGTGGGGGGAGATGGGGAGTGGGAAGGGATAAAGCAGGAGTTTGGGATTTGCAGATGCACACTACTATATATAAAATAGATAAACAACAAGGACCTACTGTACAGCGCAGGGAACTATATTCACACCTTGTAGTAGCCTATAATGAAAAAGAATACGAAAAGGAATATATATATATACACATATATATGTATATATGTACCCTGAAACTAACACAACATTGTTAACTATCTGCAATTTAAAAAATGAATTAAGAGAAACCAAAACAACAGTTCAGGAACAGAGAGGCCCCCGGCATGACTAAGCACAGTAAATGAGGGGGAAGGACGTGAGACTGAGTCACAGGGGTCGATGAGGTCACCTGAGAGGGCAGACAGACGCAGACGCTGACCTAGGACACAGCCCCAGGGAGGCACGAAGAGAGAAAGCCATAAAGGAGGCCGGGAAGGGGCAGCCGCGGACACCTGCCGAAAACGGTGTCGGAGCAACCACAGAAGGGAAGGGTCTTAAGAGGGAAGAACCACCATGCGTGCCAAACACTGTGGAGAGGTCAAGGACCCAGAAGCACCCAGCGGATTTAGCAACACTGGGTTAACCAGTAACCAGCTCTGCAGAGGGCGGAGAAATGGGAGGTCAAGAAGTGGTAGAAACAATGACTGTAACAGTTTCACGAAGTTCTGCCGTGAAGAGGGACAGAGAAGCAGCGCTGAGGCTGAGGAAGCAGTGGGGCAAAGGGGAGGTTTTGATTTTCTTGTTGTTAATTTCTGTTTGTTTCTTCAAAGGAAAGATACGCCAGTGGTGCCTTTTAGACTTTTACCAAGTAAGCCACAACAAATCCATTTAGATTGTGACTTGTAACATACATACTTAAAATCATGGAGACAAAAATTTGACAAAACGGTACGCATTTTGTCTCATTGTCTTGTTATGTGTTGAAGCATTGTCATTTTTTCATTTTGAAGAACGCTGCTTATAACTCACTAAAATGCTCACAAGACTAGATGTTTCAGATTGTTTGCAGACAGTTAATTGCCTTAGACTTCCAAGGATGAAGGGATCATTTCTGGTTGGGTCAATTTCTTTTTCATCTGTCTTTATGGTCCCCTTTCCATACCCAAGAAGCCAAATTTATAAAGCACAAGTTTAGAAATCATGTATGTAGAAGTATTAAAATATGCTATATATATATATACATGTATTGCCTCAATTTTTTAAAAACTAAGTAAAAAAAAACACATGATTTCAGACTTATGACTTGAAACTATATATGTTCTTGCTACTTCTCAGGACGAACTGATCGAACAGAAATACCTGCCATTTTTTTTGCCACTAAAGTGAACTATGCTGTTTAAAGCTAGGAAACACTTCTCATAGTGATTTTGCTTATTATTGTGTGGCTGTGTCACTTTCGTTATAATAATAATTTTTAACTTACGTATTTATTTTTAACAGAGGCACTGGGGATTGAACCTGGGACCTCGTACATGCTAAGCACGCGCTCTACCTACCACCCCAGCACTGAGCTATGCCCATCCCCCCCCAATTAATTTTTTTTAATGTTGATCCCCCAAACATTCATTCAATGGTGGTGCTAGTGCTGGGGAAACATGCCCCGAAATCAATAATTTTGGAATACAAGTTAGATGTGGTAACACACTGTTAAGAACTTTAAATATTTACTTCGATCTTTTTTTTTTAACTATGAATTTAGGAGCCAGAACTCTAGAAACTCTGGCACTAGTGATGACAAATAAAAGCAACATTAAAGTTAAAACTTGCCACAACAGTTACAGATTCATGAACTCCGAGAACACATACCCTGCCTTCCAT